AGAAACACAACTACAAGAACCCCCAGAGTCCTGGCTGCTTTCAGCTCAGATTTGTTTGTTTGATTCAATGAACGCTGAAGTGTGACAGCTGTAACATGAGAGCGCATGGCACGAGCCTGAGACACAGCCACCACAAATACTCTCATATACAAAACTATGATGACAGAAACTGGAAGAATAAAAAATAAAATAAGGTCAACCATTCCAAAAAAATCACTGATGACAAACACACACTCACCATAACAGGAATTATACCTGCCTGGTTCAATCAGCATTTCTTGCGTATAAAAACTGCAGTAGAAAGTTGTATAAAACCAACACAGACAAACACTGAGTTTGACTCTAGGCACAGTAATTCTCGTGGAGTAATGCAGAGGGTCACAAATAGCCACATAACGGTCAATTGATATAAGAACTATGTTCCCTATTGAAGCACAGCTAATGTTTACAGCCAGAAAAAAATAAACAGAACACATAAGATCACCAAGTACCCAGCAGGCCATGCTTCTAAGGATTTCTGCTGGCATCAACAAGAGACCCATGAGAAAGTCTGAGACAGCAAGAGAGAGTAGGAGGATATTGCTGGGTGTGTGAAGCTTCCTGAAATAAAACAAAAAAGAATATATTAGTAAGTTTAAAATGTAAAAAGGTCCATTATTAAGACTGTAAGACAAAGACATTAAGGTGTACAAAAAATAAATATTGTGATTTAAATTGACCAAGAATGTGCCAAATTCATTTCAATTTAGATAATAAATCATGGTGTTAAACTTTTTAAATGAAAATACAGTTTAAGTTTTAGAAACATTATCTGTGCCTGAAGTAGGAGACTGAGATGATCACGAGAAGGTTTAGAGCAGCAGTGAGCAGAGAGATGCAGGACAAGACAATGTTCAGGAGCACAGCTTTGGACCAGTGAAGTGTCGGCTTCCTGCAAGAAATGTTGAGGAGTTGTGGAAAACAGAGCTCAGCTCCTTTCTGTATCTCCATCATCAGACAACTACAACCTCTGCAGCTCTCTGAACTGATCTCACTATTATACAGCAGATTTATCTCTGCGTCTGATCTTTCTCCTCCTCTCATTCATCCTCTGTAGAATTCGCTCCTATTTCTCTCTGCACAACCTCTTGGACTGTCATACAC